AGTGTCACTGGCCCTCATATGTGGGATCCGAACCGGGGCCCTCTGGCATCCCAAGCGAGTTCTTAACCATCGCGCCACTCGGCCGGCCCGTGACTACTAATTTTTACTTTCTAATCCCTTCACCTTATCCCCCAACCTCCCTCCCATCTAGCAACCATCAGTTTTTTCTCTGTATCTCTGAGTCTATTTCTGTTTTGTTTGCTCGTTTATTTTGTTCTTTAGATTCCACATATAAGTGAGATCATATGGTATTTGTCTTTCTCAGTCTGACTTATTTCACTTGGCACAATACACTCTAGGTCCATCCATGTTGTTGCAAATGGTAAGATTTCTTTCTTTTTTATGGCAGAGTAATGTGCTATACACCTGAAACTAATATCAAATAATATTGAATGTCAATTATAATTACATATATATATATATATATATATATATATTTATGTGTGTGTGTGTGTGTGTGTGTGTATGGTCACAGAAATAAAGTACAGCATAGGGAATATAGTCAATGGTATTGTAATAGCTATGTAAGGTGTCAGAGGGGTAGTAGACTTGGGGGGGTTATCACTTTGTAAGGGGTGTAAATGTCTAATTATGTTGTTTTGTACACCTGAAACTAAAAAAAACACAAGTCCTGGGAAACTCCCCAGTCCGGCCCACTCGTGCTTCCAGAACAGGGTTTCTGGGAACAGGTGACAATTCTTCCTCTTTCTGTATTTCATATCTCAGGGAAGACCCAGGACCACTGAGTTTCCCATCTCCTCTGGGTTGGTGGCCGGCACAAGCATCCCTCCGGGCCCTCTCCAGGAGTGTGCAGCGAGGCAGAGCCACGATGTCCAACCCCTTCCTGAAGCAGGTCTTCAACAAGGACAAGACCTTCCGCCCCAAGCGCAAGTTCGAGCCGGGCACCCAACGGTTCGAGCTGCACAAGAGGGCACAGGCGTCGCTGAACGCGGGGCTGGACCTGAAGCTGGCAGTGCAGCTGCCCACTGGCGAGGAGCTCAATGACTGGGTGGCTGTGCATGTGGTGGACTTCTTCAACCGCATCAACCTCATCTATGGCACCATCAGCGACGGCTGCACCGAGCAGTCCTGCCCCATCATGTCAGGTGGCCCCAAGTACGAGTACCGCTGGCAGGATGAGCATAAATTTCGCAAGCCCACAGCACTGTCCGCCCCGCGGTACATGGACCTGCTAATGGACTGGATCGAGGTGCAGATCAACAACGAGGACATCTTCCCCACCAGCGTCGGTAAGTTGGGCCGGAGGGCGCGTGCTCACAATCAACTTTACTGAGAGAAGCTGCAGGCTGGGAAGTCCGCTTGTTTACAGTGTACAGTTCAGTGGCGTTTAGAACATTCCACCCCCAAAAATAAGCCCTGTCCCCATCATCAGTCACTGACAACCACTAACCCACTTCCTGTCTATGGATGTGCCTGTTCCGGACATTTCACATAAGTGGAATCACACACTGTGTGGCTTTGTGTGTCTGGCTTCTCTCACTGAGCACCGTGTGTTCAAGGTCCATCCACGTTGTAGCGAGTGTCGGTTCCTCACTTTTCACAGCTGAGTGACACTCCATATATAGATGGGCCATGGTTTGCTTCCAGTTAAGGCTCTTGAGATGGGGAGATTATTCTGGATCATCCAGGTGGGTCTTTATAGAGGGATGGCACACGGAGATTCGACAAAGAAGAAGGTGATGTGACAACAGATGAAAGAAAGGGATCATGAGCCCAGGAATGCCAGCAGCCTCCAGAAAAGGCAGGAAACAGGTTCCCCTGGAACCTCCAGAAGGAAGCAGCCCTGCCCCCACCTTGACCTCAGCCCAGTGAGACTGATGTGGGAACCCTGGCCTCCAGGAATGTAAGGGAGCACATGAACCAGTGGTAATTTGTTACAGCAGCCCCAGGAGACCCACTCAGAGGCCCTTCTCGCTTTCACCATTGGCATCAACACAGCGTCATGGGAAACAGTGAATAGGTCTGGGGCCCATGTCCTTGCGAGTCTTGGGCCCCGGCTCTTAATCGCTGGTTGAGTTTCTCACCCCTCTAGACCTCACTCGCCATCTGTATAGGAAATGGCCAGACTCTGGCAGAGGGCTTTCAGAGGCCCGTCTGAGAAAAGGCTGTCCCAGAATAGACACTTTCCCAAAGGAGGGATTTCTGGGTAGACCCCCAACAGGTCACCAAGACCCTGTTGGTGGCCCTGGAGCCTAGTCTGCACATACTCCCTGTTCTGACCCGGCCTGCTGACACAGGGCCCTCATCCTAGATCTTAGACCCTGAGCACCTCTAGTTAGCCCCTCAGGGTTAGATTAATGGCTCAGCAAGGGAAAGATGGGCTCCAAGTGCCATTGATGCCTGTCCACCCACTTAGTCCCCAAGCCACCAGCCCGTTGCTCTGTGATGTTAGATGGGGACCAGCAGACTTTTCCCATAAAGGGCCAGAAGTAAATTTCTCTGGCTTTATGAGTCAGACATTCTGTCTCAACTTCTCAAATCTGCCATGTAGCCTGAAAGCTGCCATGGACACTATATAAACAAATGGGCAGGCCTGTGTTCCAATAAAACTTTACTTATAAAAGCAGGGGTGGGTTGGATTTTCACCCCCAGCGTGAGAGTACCATTGCAAGCACGGGCAGCGCAGTCCAAAAGATTCCATTTCTAGGCCCTTCTCCTAGGTTGGGCTGCCCCCCACCCTCACCCCACCATTCCCAGGAGAGGAGGGAGAGGGGTAGGATCAGTGTCAGACCAGGTCCTGTATAGGTCTAGTCCCGAGCCAGGCTCCCATTTTGCCTTTCTCTGCTCCATGTTTTCTCTGATTTCTATCCACTGTTAGAGGCCCTTAGTGCATGGGGTCACCACCCCCTTGAGGGGACCATCCCTCCATGTGACTTTGAGAGGCCTTCAAGGACAGCATCTACTTCTCAGACGCCCGTGAACATAGGTTCCTCTCTGGAGAGCCAAGCGTACCTTCTCTTCAGCTTTTTCTCCCGTCAGATGGTTGGAGAAAACTGATAGGCCTCACTGATGCTGAAGGAACCTTCCTCAGAGTTAGGACCCCCACAAGCCGCTGTGACACAAAAACGTTCACAGACGCTTAGAGCCAAGAGAATACTATACCGTCAGTTCTCATGCAGTGAGGCTGTCTGGTCCCAGATCCACAGGAGGGAGCAGGGCCAGGTGGGAACTGTCACGTGCAGAGAGCCAGTTCTTCCCCACTTGCTTTTAACTGGACACATCTCGGACCCTCCCCATGCTGAACAGCCCTGTCAGCTCCCCGGTCGGGGCTGCGGGTCTCAGTTTTGCTGCGGACACCGCTTCATGAGCCTTCCTGCACTTGCCTCGACATCTTTGGGCCATTACCCAGCCGACCACAGGCCCCATAAGCACAGTGCTGTCCAGCTGCTGACATCCCATCTTGGGAGAGCATGTGTCTGGTGCACCATGGCTTTCCCACGGTTAGCGACATCTGTGTGTCCTCCCCTGGGCCATTAGTCCCTGAGCCCCTTTCTTCGAGGATGGGCTGGTCTATCTGTCCAGGTCCTAGGCACCCACCTGGTAGCTCTGGTTGGATCTCATGAACACGTGCCTTCCACCTGTCCTGTGGGACAAAGGGCATGAAGTCTTGGTGGACAAAAGGGAAGGAGTCCATGAGGGCGCGCGGTGCTGTGAATGTGCCGAGTGCCACCAGCTGTCGCCTAGAACGTTTCGGATGGGAAATCTCATGGTAGGTATATTTTACCACAGTTTTAACAAATAAAGAAATCAAGTATTAAATTCAATAACAGAAGAAATTGCAACATAGTCTGTGCATCCAATTAAGCTGTGACAAGTCCATCAAATTTAAATGATATTATAAAAGCATACTAAGCTGGAGAGAGATAAAGATTGCAAGTGGAAAATATCAAGTCAAAAATATGTTTTTATGGGTTGTCCAGTTCTATTAAGAAAAATAAATGGTATTAGAAATACACACATGTGGCCAGGCCCCGAAGTGGAAACAGCACACCCACAACTGGCAGACTTGCAGGCGGGGAACGTTCTGGTTCCAAAAGGATGCTGGGCAAAGGCCGAAGGAATGTGTGGCTCCTGGCGCATTCCCAGCGAGGGCTGGATGCTGGGGTCTGAGCAGCTGACGCCAGGTGCCCTGAGGATAGGCTTTCCCTGTCCCCATCCTGTCCCTTGGACGTCATTAGGCAGCAGAATGGTGCTGCACTTCAGAGGGCTCCCTGGGGCTGACGGCATGAAGACCAGGGTGGGAAGTCCTGGATAAAGGGGCTCTTCCTACAGCGTCACCCGGTCTGGCAGGCTGTGTAACCTGGCAGGCTGTCAGCCCTTCTGAGCCCTGCATGACCCCTCTCCTGTGCAGGCACGCCGTTCCCCAAGAACTTCCTGCAGGTGGTGAGGAAGATCCTGTCACGTCTGTTCCGCGTGTTTGTGCACGTCTATATCCATCACTTTGACCGCATTGCACAGATGGGCTCTGAGGCGCACGTCAACACCTGCTACAAGCACTTCTACTACTTCGTCAAGGAGTTCGGCCTCATCGACACCAAGGAGCTGGAGCCACTGGTGAGTGTGCTGGCGGGGCAGCAGGAGAAGGGGACACTGCGGCCCCTGGTCCCGGGGCCCAGATGCCCAGAGTCAACAAAGTGAAGCAGACGTTGGCTCTTTAGGTTTTGGCCCACATTTGTGATGGTGACATTGGATGTGACCACAGCTGGGGTAGGTCGCTTAGTTTCCAGAATCTGGTGCTTGGGGCCCAACCTCTGGGATTTGTTTGGGGCCTTTTTGCTGTCACCCCTGTGGGTGGGTGCAGCCCCATGTGACACAAAGGCCCCGGATGCTGAGACTGCCGTGCCTACAGGTTCCCTGGGGGAGTCACCCCCATTGCTCGGCCCAGAGCGGTTCCAGGAGCTCCTTTCTGCAGCCACATTCCACTCACTATCCCGGTCGGAGAAGCTGTCTCCACAGACACTGAACTGCATAGAACATGCACTGAACACAGAGCGGCCCAGTGGCCTATGTCCCCGGTGGCCCCATCTCCCCAACCTCCTCCTCTCTGCCTCAGGCCAGAGAGCAAGGAATAATTTTTGCCTTTAATTGAAGTAAAATTTACATACCTTAAAAGTAGCCATTGTGAACTGAATAATTCAGTGGCTTTTACTAAATTCACAGGGTTGTGTGACTATCACTTCCATCTCATTCCAGAGCATTCCATCACCCCAGAAGAAATCCTGTCCCCATCATCCTTCACCCCCATCCCTGCCCAGTCCCTGAGAACCACAAATCCACTTTCTCTCTGTGTGGATTAGCCAAATAGGTCAACGTTGACCCCACCCTAGAGATGGGACGATTCAGGTAACAAGAGTGGCTCACTGGGGACCCTTCCTATTTTATTTATTTATTTTTTTTTTTAGATTTTTTTTTATTGGGGGAGGGGAACAGCGCTGGGGAACTGGGGGAAGGGGAACAGACAAGTTGCTGTCCTTTTGTTCTTCAGTCTAGTTGTGGAGGACGTTGCTTCACTGGCCCAAGTTAGCACCATCATTGCGCTCTTCCCCGGGTGAGGCAGATCAGTCGCCGGCTTCTGGATGGCCGCTCACTGCGGTTGCTGGCCGCTCACGCTGGCTGCTGGCTACACACGGCAGCCCCTGGCAACCCACTGCAGCAGGGGCTGCAGCCTACGCCATCACCGGCAACTCACTGCAGCCCAGGTCCAGGTTGAGCTGTTGTTCAGCATCTTAGCTGTAGAGGGCAGTGTCACTGGCCCTCATATGTGGGATCCGAACCGGGGCCCTCTGGCGTCCCAAGCCAGCTCTTAACCAACGCGCCACTCGGCCGGCCCACTAGGGACCCTTCCTCATCATGTGGGCTGTAGACTTAGTGCCTGATCAGTGATGGACACCCCACATTTCCCCATTTGCAGTGCAGGGTTCCCCAAATTGCTTTGAGCAGGACCTGTGGTGTCAAAGGGCGGCAGGTGGCTGCTTACCCCGTGCTCACCAGCCACCACCACTGTTCACAAGGGTCAAGAGCATCCCACAGGGGTCCTGGTGAGGCTGGTGTGAGAACTTAGGGCTGGTGCTCAGAGCCCTCAGAGTCATTATGGAGGCAGTAGCATCTACGTGCCCCTCTCTGGTCACCCCCCAGCTTGGAAACGCTGGGGTGACCCAGGGCTGCCCCTGGGGAACCCTACATCATAACTCTGGGTCCCCTTCTCAGGCCCTCGCAGGGCCCCTGGAGTCCACATGGGCACTTTTTTCTGACATATTCCTCCATTGATTTGGGTCTTTGAAAGGCTATTCTTTTACAATTTTTAAAAATTGCTAAAAACATCTTCACATCACCTTTTCATTTTTACATATTCCCTTGCAGGCTTTGGCTACCAGTACACATTTTTCCAGAGTTAAAGTTACTAGTAAACACACTTAATCAGGAAGGGGCTTTACTCTGAGGTGATGGAATGTTCTGGAACGAGAGGGAGGTGGGACTGCACAGCATCGTGAATGTGGGTGCCACTGACTCGTTCACTTTATAATGGTTCATTTCACGTGAGTCTCTCCTCAACTTGTTATTTACCAAATACTGAACATTGTGGCGTGTACTTTTGTGATCTGCTTGTGGTTTTTTTTGTAACTTAGTGTTATAATCACATCATCATTTCTCTCGTTTCTCTCGTATACATGCCTCGAGTTCTCTCTGGAAGCAGCTGGACAATAAAGTAATAAGGTCGTGACTTTCCCCATGGTTTTCTGTGAATGAGGTGGGCTGTGTGACGATCTGGTCTGCTGTGTAGTGAGGTTTTCAGGGTTTTGCCATCTTGCATAATGTGGCGGTGGGCATCTTCACGCCTCCACCTCTTTGCTGTTTATCAGTCATCTGTCGAGGACAGATTTCCAAGACTGGGATCACCAGGTGAAAGGTTGTATTACAGATATTCGTCTTTATTTATGCCCAGGCTGCTTTCCAGAAGGTTCCTCCTGATGTCTGATGGAGTGTATGAGGCAACGGCCAATGAACTGCGTTTTGTGAATAAAGTTTTATTGGCACACTCAGCCTCACACTAATTGCTGTGGCTGTTTTCAGCAACTGGGCAGAGTTGAGCAGCCAGATAGACACCATCTGGCCGCCAGACAGTGGCTTCTCTGGCCCCTCACAGCGCTTGCCACCCCAGGAGTGCTGCTGTCTGTCTCCTTTTCCGGAAGGTTTGACCTTAAATGAAGCAGTGAAGCCCATGCTTCCCTAGAGACTGCATCCCTTACTTTTCTGTGTGTGTGTATGTGCATGTGTTGTGTGCATGCGTGTGTGTGCACGCATGTGCGTGCATGCGCATACGTGCATGTGTGCATGAGTGTGTGTGTGTGTGATTTCTGTTGCCTCTTATGATGATACCTGATGTCCTGCTTGTTCTTAACAGAAAGAAATGACTGCACGAATGTGCCACTGAGGCCCCCTTGGCCCCACTAGGCAGTGATAGGCCCATCTCCCCGGAACATGGACTGTGTTTTCTGGCCCAGCAGCTCCATGACCTCAGCCATCGGACAGTGCGCTCTGTGCCGCCCAGGCTCCACTGAACACTGGCATTGAGTCGTCTCTCTGATTCCAAGGTAGCAGCAGCCATGGGTCTACACATAGCAGGGTCCAGCCTCCCCGAGCCCCACAGTGGGGAGAATGAACTTGAACTCTGATTCTGTGTGCTGTGAGCAACTGGGAAAATCCACTTCACCTGTGAAGCACTTGCATCTGCCCAGGGGCTGGAGCTCAGACCCCACCCACCAGGCACAGCCAGCCTGTCCCCACATGCCCCCAACTTGCTCAGCCTGGGAGGGGACAGGCTGCAGGCTCCAGGTCAGCAGACAGGAACCCACCTCCACCAGGACCCCCACAGCCCCATATCTGTCACAGAGGTACGATGTCCCCTGCTCCCTCTCCTCCCGCCTCTCTTCCTCAATCCCCTTCCATTCCTTCAGTCCTTCCAAAATGTTGGGCTCATCTGTCAGGGCTTCCCAGACCCCACACCTGCACCCCAGGTTTCCTGGGGCCTTTCACGTATAATGAAAGATTGAGTGCTTATGCATTCTCCCTGATGATCACCTTGAGATGTTAAGGAAAGGAAGCTTTCTACCTATAAATAGTGAGCCCACCTCCCTTCTAGACAAATGCCCCTGTGTTATGAGTAACACGATGACCCTCCATTGAGCCTCCGGGTCTGGGCCTTCCTTCAGGTGCCTGCCCACTTTATGTGGAAACCTTGTGGCCCTTCATGGCCACAGGACCAGAGTCCCAGCACTCTCTTCACAGAACATGGAGGTGTGGCCAGGGCCTGTGTGAAGCTACTTGAAGTGATAGAAGGAAGCCACACATTGCCCCCAGCTCCAGCCTCCCTGCCCACTGGTACCCACAGTGGCCTTTCCCCTGGCAGCCTTGCCACCAACCACACCTGCCTCTGAGGACCTCCGATGTCCGGGATGCTTGCAGAAGAGAAGGGCGCTGTCACCCAGCACCAAACAAGTGTGATTATCAAGGCCTCAACCTAGTCCTCCCAGACACCACTGGGTCCAGGCCTGGAGCCCTGGGACACAGACCCCGCAGAATGCAGAAAACCATCCGATGGAATGTAGCTCCTCTTAAATGCAAAACAATGCCCAAACGCCATAACCACTGTGCCCCCCCAGGTTGCCCGCTCTTCCCCCTCAGTCTGTCCAGGTCAGGGAAGGTGATGAGGACTGTGGGGTAGGGAGGGTCCTCTTGCATACCTGTGGGTATTCCCACATGACTATCCAAATAAATTGTGCCATTTTTGTACCCACGGCTGCTGGCTGTCATTTCTCTTTTCCTGTCAGGAGGGCCTGGCATCAGGACATGTCACTGCCATCACTGGAGTGTTCTCATCCCCAAGGGGCAAGAAAATATTAGATGTCACAACAGTTTGTGATCTGACAAAGCACCTCAAATATATGAACAGATGCACAGAATGTGGGTGGGATTAGAATATGATGTGGAACAGGGTGGGGGGTGACTTGGATAAAAGTGTCAGAAACAGACGAGGGCTCTGCTCTCCCATAGTCCCGCCTGAGTTGTTTCCCGCTCTTACCAAACGTGATCCTAACTCCTTGCCTTACAGCCATGTGAAATAAGTTTCCAGAAAATGGAATAAGCACAGTAGATTGAGAGGGGACAGATAGAGGGGTGTTTCTGTTCCAGTTGTTATTAGCTAGCTTTGTGACCTTGGACACAGGACAAAGTTACCCTCAAAGTATTCTCATGTGTGAAAAATGGGAGCTGATTTCTTACTCAGGCCCCTTTTAAACGTAAAATTTTGCAGCTCCAGGGCCAATAGCATGTGGTCTTTTGCAAGTGGGGGTTGCAGACTTTGCTTTTGGGAGGGTGGCAGATGAGACAGGTGGACACCAGGTTTACCAGCCACCGAGCCTGCAAGCCGCTATAGCTTCTGGTCCCCAGAGGGCGCACTGGCTCTGTGGGGAGAGTTCACTTCAAAGTGAATTAATTCCACGTTCTTTGGAAATAACTTCCAAAGAAGCCCTTGTCACCTTACCCTTTGATTTGCAAGCACACCATGGAAACTTGCAGAACCAGTTTAAGAATTTGGGAGTTATTACTGTTATTTGGTATAGTGGTCCCCAAAGACATCCCCATCCTAGTCCTGGGACCTGTGGACATGTTGCGTCTCATGGCAGATTACATGGCATCTCTAGAAACTGGAAAAGGCCAGAAATGCTGGAACCTGCAGAAGGACCAGCCCTTCCCTCACCTGGGTTTTAGCCCAGTGAGGCCCATTTTGGATTTCTGGCCTTCGGAACTACCAGAGAATAAATTTCTAAGAAAGGCCTTAAATCTGTGGTAATTTGACGGATACCAGGGCTGTGTCCACCTCTGGCCATCTCAATCATGTGCAGTTTTGTGCCAGGAGCTGCATTTTGCAGCCGCTGTTTGCATGGCTCCTTTGACAGGGTTCTGATGCCACCACAGATCACCAGCTGGGAAGGGGGGAGGGGCACGTTCCTAGATATTTCTGGAGCCATGTGCCCTGTTTTCCAAACCAAAGACAGCAGATGAGAAACAAAACCAGCTGTCGCGCTCCACCCCTCCCCGCCAGGTGCCTTGGTCCTTGGGCCTCCAGTCCCTGGGCGGGAATTCTGCTCCCAGGAATGCCGCCTACCCTGGAAAACAGCCAGAAACAGCTCTGTCTGCTGTAAGCAGACGAGGAGGAGGCTGGTCCCCGAGTCTGCCAGGCCAGCAGGGTCCCCGTTGCTCTGCTGCCAAGGATCTGAGCTTTCATCAGATGCCAAGGTTGACCTGAGTTTCACTCCAGCGACACTTGGTTCCCTCCAGCACTTCCTTGGAAAGAGGAGATGGAGTCAGGCGTGCTCACTCCTGAACCCTCAACCCAGGACCCCTGCCCAGATTGACCAAGTTGCTGGAAACTTCTCCCTCTCACCAGGCCCTGGTCTTGACCTCACGAGGGATGGGCCCCAAGGCTGGCCAGGACCCCACAGCAAGGTCCCTGGTCTATCATGATTTGGAGGTGGCAATGAGTCCAAGGACCCTCTGTTCTTCCCTGCCATGTGGCCCATTTGTGTGAGCAGATCTTCCTGCCTGTTCCTCAGCTCAACTCTGGGGGCCACCATGAGTTCTGACCACCCCACCAGGCCAAGAGAAGAACACACATTCCATTAGGAATGCTGCAGGAAAGGCCTAGAGCAGGCGGACCCATCCCACCCTCTGTCAAATGACCGTCCTCATCTGTCATTCCAGTCCCCAAAAGCTACCAAGGAGCCATGCCAATCTGTCATAGCAGCAACAGAAGATCCATGAACCCTCATCCCTTAGGGTGAGGGCATAGTGGTTTCCTGGGGCTGCTGTGACAAATTGCCAAAACTTGGTGGCTTAAAACCACACATATTTACCATGTCACAGTCTGGAGGCCTATATCCAAAATGGGCCTCACAGGGCTAATACCCATGCATGGGCAGGGCTGTTTCTTTCTGGAAGTTCCAAGGGAGAATTGTTTCTGGCCACTTCCAGTTTCTAGAGGCACCGAATCCTTGGCTTGTGGCCCCTTCCTCCATCTTCACAGCCCACCCCAGCAGTACCTCTACAAACCCCAAAGAATCTTGGACATATGGGCGAGTTTCCCACTGGCCAGGGCCCCCAGAGAAGTGTGGAGACCACAGACAGCCCACGACCCACCCAGACCAAAGCCAGCCCTCCCTGCCTGGCCTGTTGGGAAGCAGGAAAGCTGCTTCTAGAACAGCTGAAGGCCCGTGGCACCTCAGAGGCATGTCCAGCTGTGTGCCTTGGAGGGCTGTGCCACACTAGTGGCGTGCTTTCTTTTTCATTTTACTTTATTTTTAACCAGTTTTAGAATTACAGAAAAGTTGCAAAATTATACTGAGTTCCTGGATGCCCCCTACCCAGTTTCCCCTAAAACTAACATCTTACATCATCAGGGAACAAGGATCAAAGCAGGTCACCCCAGGTTACTGGTGTCTGAGGGTGCTGGGGTGGGGAGTGATGGAGGGACAGGAAGCAGGGGGAAGCTGAGTCCACATCCCAAAGCCTGACATGACCAGGGACGCTGCCTGGCTAATTGCCCCTCCTCCCCAAATCTCTGGGGCCTGCCATTCCTATACCTTGAGGCCAGCCTTGGCAGGGACCTGGGCATCAGGCATTATCACTTCCCATGGGTGACCCCAAGGAGGCAGCCCAGGCTTAGGGCACGGAGAGTGGAGAAGAGAATCTGTCCAGGGTGGCGGGACATTGTGACCGTGGCCGCTGCCCCCTGGGAGTCCACAGGGTCCAGATACTCATTACCACCCACGTTTGCTTTCCAGTGTCAGGAGGATGAGCCCCCGCAAGGAGAGTTCCAGGCATTGAGACCTGAGACCCGAGGGAATCAAACTCCCCACCCTTCCAAGTGGGTAAGGGTCCTTGTAAGGGCTGTTTCCTGGCACCTGGGAAGAGGGGTGGGCCTAGGGGCCCAGACCTGGGGACAAATCTGGCCCCCACCTGCGGTATGGCTTTCTGGGGTACGTGCTCGCCATAAAGCCATGGGGCCTGGGTGACCCCCGGGGTAGTGGCGGGAGCTGCAGGGGGGCCGCATAAATGCAGGGGCGTCGTTCAGGGAAGCAACGGGCTCTGGATGCGCCGCCCCGGCGCCCGTGATATGCGCACCTGGGGACACTGAGGCTCAGGGACAGCTGGAGCCCGGCCGGCGTACCCCCAAACCCAGGCCGGCCGCGCCTCGAACCCTGAACACTAAGGCAAGAAAATCTCAGGAAGTTGCGTGCGTTCCCTTTTAAAGGGGCGCGGCCCTACTAGCGCGGCCCCGACAACAACAGTCCTATTGGCTGAAGTGCGCTGAGGCCACGCCTCCTACACTCAGTCCCTGGAATCCTATTGGCCCAACGCCATGGCCCCGCCTCCCACTCTCTGGGAGTCGGGGCGCTGAGCCAGGTGCGTTGACGCAAGCGCGTTGCCCCGGCAACCGCTCGGTTCGTTGGACAGAGAGGCCCAGCGCCGGTACTAGCTCGCAAGCGCGGCTGCCGCGGGTCCCCAGGGCTCTTGGCCCGGACCCGGGAGTCCACGGCACCCCAAGTCTCCGTCCCCCGCAACCCGTCACCCCAGGACATCCGGCCAGAAGGCCCCGCTATGTGGATGAAGAGGAAGCACCCTGGGGACAGCATGTCTGATGGGGGTCAAGGCATGGGAACTGGCTGGGCGCCGCGGGCTTCAGGCTGCAGAGGGCAGGGAGGGGTCAGAGGCTCCGGCTCACATGCCTGGCAGCAGATTGGCTCGAGCAGTTAGCAGCACAAGCAAATCCAACCCTAGAAGAGTACATTCCTGGAATCTGGTCCCTGCACGGGCCGTGGTTAGAAGGAACCCGCCGCCTCTGGCCACAATGACCTTCATGGCCCTCGCAGGTGAGCAGGAGCCAGGCCCAGCTGTCCAGGCTTCCAGGCCTCTCCTGCCCCCTGGACGCATTGCCCTTCAAGGGACCCTGGCCAGGAAGACTGGTTTGCCTCCTCCTGGCCTGGCTGGACTTGCCTTTTGTTGATCATCTGCAAAATGGGAACTCTGGGATGGTATTAGTGCCTGTATGAGCCTCCTAGGGCGACAAATGACCACAGATTTAGGGCCTTTCTTAGAAATTTATTTCTGTGACAGTTCTGAAGGCCAGAAATCCAAAATGGGCCTCACTGGGCTAAAACCCAGGTGTGGGCAAGGCTGGTCCTTCTGGAAGCTCCAGGGAGAATGGTTTCTGGCCTTTTCCAGCTTCTAGAGGCGCTGTGTCCCTGGCTCATGGCCCCTTCTCCGTCATTCATCACAGCCAGCAGTGTACCCTCTTCCATCTCTCTGACTCTGACCCTCCTGCCTCCCTCTTATGAGGACCCTGTGATGACACTGGGTTCCCTGGGGAATCCAAGGTCATCCCCATCTCAGGGGCCTTGACTTAATCTCATCTGCAAAGTCCCTGTATCTTGTGAGGTCACACATCCACAAGTCCAGGACTGGGAGGAAGATGTCTTTGGGGGCCGTTTTCTGCCCACCTCAGGGTGTGACTAATTTTCTACAGCAGGGAGCCAACTCTGCCTTCTGCCTGGTCCTAGGAGAAGTGTCACTAGCACATGCAGAACTCAGTGCTACTCCAGACCTGGGTCCCAGCCAGGCAGGGAGTTGCCCCAAAGAGGTGGCCTTTGAATGAGGCCTGGAGTCAGCCAGCAGAGAGAGGCCTTCAGTTTTGTGACAAGAGTTTGGGAGCAGGTTACCTGACTGGTGTGGCCTGGCCAGGCACAGGGTTTCCTCCCACATCCGCCTCCCTTTTCCTTCAAGCCCCCAACACCCATCCAGCCACATCCTGCCCCTCCACTGGCTATGCCCCTCCCCAGGACCTGTACACATGCTGTGAAATCCCTCCACCCTCTTTGGAACTAGGGACCCTTGTATGTGACGCCCCAGGTCACTGTTGGGGAGCAGGTCAGCTGGAAGCAGGAGACCTGGCTCTTCCATGAGCCACCTGGGTGTCCAATGCCTTAGACCGGGCATTGGACCAAGAATACCCCAAGTGCCCTGTTCTTGGTCACTAGGGCAGGGTAGTGGTCTTTGGCCATTTGCTGGGCCAACCCTGCCAACCCCTTAGTCCCACTCCACCTCTCCCTTGGGAACTTTTAGTGACTGATCCCTGGGAAGCAGGATGTGTTCAGTGCTACCCCGTCATAGCAGGGCAGGCCCCAAGGCTGCCCAGACACTCTAAACGAGAGCTGGGCAGGGAGCTCCTGCCACACCCACTCCTGCTTTCCCTTCCCCTGCCCTACCCCCACCCTCAAGGAGGACAGAGGCCCTGGCTCTGTCCCCAGGACTGCTGGAGTTAGCCATGAATCAGCCAGCAGGAAGGGACACTTACAGGCACTTGCATCAGATGTTCCTGCCTCGTGGCCCCAGGGCCAGAGGCCCAAGACCATGACCCTCACTTATCTGGGACCTCTTGTGACCTGGGGGGCCAGACAGGTGGGAACATGCAGAGGGGGTGCAGGCAAGGCTGGGTGCCAGCCCAGGACTCCAACTCTTGCCTCCCATACCCACAACCATCCCAGACTCTAGTGCAGCAGTTCTCAACCTGTAGGTTGCGACCCCTTTGGGGGTCGAACGACCCTTTCACAGGGGTCGCCAGGTACTCGTATGTGGGCGTATCTGCATGTGGGCCTGCAGACGGATAGAGGAGCTTTGTCTCGGTTCCTAAGACCATCGAAAATATGTTTTCTGATGGTCTTAGGCGACCCCTGTGAAAGGTTGAGAACTGCTGCCTAGTGCTAACCCTGATTCTGACACCCTTACCCTAGCTTAGAAGCTGCACTGAGACCTAGGCTCCTTCCACACCAGCTCAGTGCTTGAGGGTGAGCCATGTGTCCCCTTTGAGCCTCAGGTGGCTGGCTCTGAGCAGAGGAGGGAGGGGCCCAACCCTACCCTCAACTGCACAGGCTTTGTGAGGATACTGCAATAGTCCCAGCACTGGCCCCATGGTGCCCAGCCCCACTCATGGGCACCCACTGCTCTCATGTGTGCACACACCAGCAAGTGAGTGCATGGTCCCCACACCACCTCCACACTCACACACAGGCTCACAGTTTGCCCTACACAGACCCAGGCTCGGTGCCTCTAAACATGCACAGATACACATACACACCCAAACCTGCTCACACACCAAACTGGTGCCTTTTTTTTTCTTTTCTTTTTTTAAGATTTTATTGGGGAATCGGGGGAGGGGAACAGCACTGGGGACTTGGGGAAGGGGAACAAACAAGTTGCTGTTGTTTTTGTTCTTCAGTCTAGTTGTAGAGGATGTTGCTTCACTGGCCCAAGCTGGCACCATCACTGCACTCTTCCCGGGTGAGGCAGATCAGTCACCGGCTTCTGGATGGCCGCTCACCACGGCTGCTGGCTGCTCACACTGGCTGCCGGCTCACACTGGCTGCCGGCTACACACGGTAGCCCATGGCAACCCACTGCAGCAGGGGCTGCAGCCTACGCCGTCGCCAGCGACCCACGGCAGCCCAGCCCCGGGTCGAGCTGCCGTTCACCATCTTAGCTGTAGAGGACAGTGTCACTGGCCCTCACATGTGGGATCCGAACCGCGGCCCTCTGGCGTCCTAAGCCAGTTCTTAACCAACGCGCCACTCGGCCGGCCCACTGGTGCCTTTTTTAAATGTTGGAGGACAAAGGTCTTTACTGTCACCCCTTGGTAAGGTTGTCAGATAAAATACAGGACACCAATTAAATTTGTATTTCAGATAATAATTGCTTGTGATAATACTTTTACATGGGACTTAACACTGAAAAGTTATTGTTTATCTGAAATTTAAATTTAAGTGGCATCCTATATTTTTATATGCTAAATCTGGGATCCTTACTTGCTGGTTGTGGAAGCCCTGAGCTGCCCTAGGGTCCCCAGACACTGACCAGGAGGTGAACTCTGCACCAACTGAGCTCCCAGGATGCTAGGGCTCCGGCCACCTGATCAGGTCACAGTGGACACCACCCAGCCAGCCTGCCTCCTCCTGGCTCAGAGAGGAGCAGAGGTTCCAGGGATGGCAGTCAGGACCTGCCTTGGTGTCTCCTCTGGGGTTTTTGGGTGACCTCACATACGACATAGGCTGAGAGTCACCCTGCAGAAGCTAGCTCCCTGCCCCTTTGGCTCAAGACTTCCAAAGCCCCCTCCATGATTGGGGCAGTAAAGGTATTATTGCCAGCTCCTCCTTTTTCTGGCAAGTGCCTCCCAGGACCTCTCCTTGCTTTGGGAACCTCAGGCTGGCCCCAGGCACCCCCAGGGCAATCCTGAGGCCCCTCCCAGGCTGACCATCTCCCCTGGTATCCTTTGGGAGGTGTCCTTTATTCTTGTCCTGGGCCCGCCTGTCCTGTCCACCAGCCCTGGCTGGACCTGTCTCTTGCTCACTGTCACTGCCCCAGTCTGGAAAGAAAAAACCTGCCATCTGCAGACCAAACAGGAAGGCTTGAGAAGCAGGGTTCATCAGGCTTCCTGCCTCACCTGCCTGGCAGGTCCCTTCCACCCAGCAGCAGGTCTAGTCTCCCTCCTTGAGGCAGGTGAAAACTCTGGGGGCCCCAGGAAAGGCAGGCAGAGTGGGAAGGCCCAGCTGCACCCCCAGGTACCTTCCAGCTGTCCCTCCCTCCCTCATTCCCTGGGTGCCCAGCACCTCTGGGAGCTGCACCTGTAAACAGGGCCATCATCCAGGAAGATGGCAGGTATCGGCTATCTGGGGTTGGCGGCTGGCCCAGAGCAGAACACAGAGGCCTGAGAGTCAGCAGGCAGGGCACAGAGGTCCCTCCCCTTCCCTGATTCCCACTAGTAGCCCCCCTCGCCCCCAGTGCAGGCCAGGCTGGGGCTAGCCCTGGCTGTCTCACCTGGCCAGCACAGCTCAGGCACCCACAGATCCCTGCACCCAGGCCAGTTCCAGTGCTCAGTCCCATGCGTCTATAAACCAAGGGACGCCAAGGATTGCTGGCACCACTAGGAGCCAGAAGAAGCAGGAAGGATCCTCCCCTAGAGCCTTCTGGCAAGGGTGTGGACCTGCCAACACCCTGATTTCAGGCTTCTGGCCTTCAGAATATGAGAGCATAAATTTGTTGTTTTAAGCCACGCCATGTGCTGTACTTTGTTACAGCAGCGTCAGGAACATGTTACACTTACACAACCCTTATACGCAGGCGTGCTCGCACGCACACGCACATACACGTACAAACACTCAAACACATCCGTTCTTTAAATAATATTCAGTGAGCACTTCCTGCATGTGTGCCAGGCCCTGTGCTGCCCCCTGGACCAGCATTGGCCAGATCTGTGCTCTCGTGGAGCTGACCCTCTGGGCAGGCGCAGTGGTTCATCTGTTCCCACTTGTGCCATCTACAAATGCATGAAGACCTGCAGGTGACCACGTACACACAGGAGGCAGGGTTAAGGAGGGAACAGCCAAGGGGTGGAAAGGACAAGGAGGGACCCAAGGCTTTCCCTAAGTAGGCAGGTCTGTGAGCCCCATCCCAGGCACCTGGAGCCAATGTATGTTGTGTACACACACGCGCACGCGTGTACGTATGTACATACAGGGCACAGGCTGGGGATGGCAGGAGGTTGGTTGGGGAGGTTCCTCCAAACGTTCTGGGGCTGGCTGAGGTCTGAGCCGCAGCCTTGGCAGGCAGCATATAGAGGCAGTTGGTGGAAAAGGGGACAGTCCAGCTTCAGGTCAGTGGAGCCTGTTGGGAGACAGTTGGGGGGGGGGTGGCTGGAAATCTCTGGAAGGACAAGCTGGGGTTGGAAGACAGGAAGGATTTTCCAGCCTACAGGCCTGTGCCCCCATGTGCCCAGAGCATGGGGTCTGAGAACTTTGCTCCACCATGCTGCGGGAACAGGGAGCTGGTCCGGCTCAGGACAGGCTAATTCTATCCAAGCCTGGGTCCGGGATCCCAGCCGAAATGGGGTTGTTTTACCTTCTGTCCTCGCCTCCCTATCCCTTAAGCTTTCCCCCTATCAGCCCAGGAAAAACGCCCCTTTGCAGGACTGAGGGAGGTTCCTTCACAGATTTCTGTCCCCATTCCCTACTGTGAACCCCTTTCCCTGCTAATAATGGGATGAACTCTGGAGGAGATCCTTGGGGAAGGCAGCTGGGCCTCAAATAGTGTTCAAGTCGCGGGCAGGACAGCTGGGGCCAGGATCCGGGAGTTGTAAGAGGGAGCCACAGCAGGTTCTAGAGCAGGGGTATCGTCAAAAGAAGTCGGTGCATACTAGGCTCTCCACGGGAAACTGAGGGAGTTGCCAGAGTACCGGGACGGACTCCGGCTCCGTACCAGGATCTCGCGGGTCTCCAGGTGCCTGACACATCCCCGCCCACATCCGCCTAGCCCCTTAGACCCTTCCTGGATCCCGCACCCGGAGCCCGGCGCGACGCACAGCGCAGGCGCATGGGATTGCCCCACAGCCGGAGCGCGCAGCCGTACTTAGCCCGGAGCGCCCTCCCAGCTCCGCCTCAGCCGCGCGCGTATAGGCGGGGCCGAGGAGCGAGGCCAGCGTCAGGGGCGGGGTCGGGCCTGGCCCATAAAGGCGGCGGCGGCGCTGCACGCGCGACTCCTCTCGGCGGCGGCAGGGGCCCAGGCGGAGGCGTCCGCTGCGGTGGTGGCGGCGGCGGCGGCGGCGGCGGCGGCGGCGGCGGCGCTGTTCCCCGCGCGGTCCGCGCAGCGGGATCTGGGCTGCGTGTCTTGGACGGCGGCGGCGGAACTGCGGCCCCGGTCCGAGCCTGATCCCGGTGAGTGAGGCCTGGCGACCCGGGCCCGGCCCCGACCCGGGCGCGGGGATCGGGCCCCGCGGAGCCTCGCCGCCCAGGCCTGGGCTCCCGGCGCGCCGGTCGGGGCCACTCACGACCTCCTTTGTCTGCTACCGCCCTCAGGGTCCCCTCCCCAGCCGCCCCCTTCCCACGGGCCAACCCTCGGGCCCTGCGTCCTCTCCCCCGCTGGCGGGGCCCGGACAGAAGATGGTGCAGAAGAAAACAGCGGAATTTCAGGGCTTCCACCATTCGTTCAAGGTGAGGGTCGAGTCGGGTTGGGGGCGTCCGGAGCTGGACCACCCTAGTGGCCGGTGGCGGGGGCGCGGAGCCCGCCCTCAGGATCCCCTGGGGTTCGTGCCCGACCCCCACCTTGTGCCAGGGGCTGCCCCAGCCGTGTCTCCAGCGCCCTGGGACCTGTGGGGTCTTTCCTCCAGGAACCCCAGGCGGCAGGGGCCGCTGCCTGTGTGTCCTCTTCAAACCCCAGCTGGGTGTATAGTGCTGGGGATGGTGTGCAGGCCACAGTTCTGTCCCCAGTACCGTAGTAGCGTCTGTGGGGTCCTTCCTCCAGAAACCCCAGGCAGAGCTTCAGGCCACCCCCCACCTACGTCCTCCTAGGTGGTCTGCAGAATTGGGGAGTGGATTGGATGCCCCTCCCCCTCAGCCCTACACCTCCCAGACACCCCAGGCCCAAGCATCACTATTTCCTGTCAGAGTGGGAAGTTTCTGTGGCTGCCCTACAGCTGAGTCCTGGTCTCAGATGAACAAACCTAGGGTGGTCGGGCAGGTGCTGGGCAGGGGCCCTATGGAGCCTGGCTTAGGGGATGCAGTGATGTCAGCGGCCGCCCCACCCGTCTGCAGAGTTATGTAATGGCTTCCTTGGGCCTCCTTGGGCAGGGACCTGTTGCCCTGTGGAGGAGGCAGGACCTGGGGATGTGTGTGCTGAGCACCAGGGTGGGAGGAGCCAGATGAGACTGTTTGGGTTAGAATTCCCAGGCCTCTCCAGCCAGCGTTCAGGCCAGTGCCCCACCCTGCCCAAATGCCTGTCATTTTCCCCCCCAGTACAGCGACAGCCGTGGCATGTCCAAACGTCTGGGGCTGGGTGGGAGGGGGTGGACGTGAGACATGACTGGTGGTGGTCTTTCACCTTCTGGGGCTGCGCCTGAGCTGACACAGGGTCAGTGCGCAGAGCCAGCTCTGCAGCCAACACAAACTCAAACTTTCTGGATGGTTCCAGCCACCTCCTGCCAAGGCCTGCTGACTGGAGGCCCACAGCCAGCCCTCGGCCTGGCCCGCCCACACTGCTCAGGTCTGAAGGCTGGCCTTTTGCAGGCCACCCGACAGCCCTGTGCCCTGTGCCGAGGTGTGATTGTGGGAGTTCCAAGGGAGGGAGGAGGGACACTGGACAGGGAATCTTGGCTCTGAGGTGGCCCTCCAAGGTCCAGCTTTTCTGAATTAGGGGCTGGGACAGGGCGTGGAGGTGAGGAGGGGCTTGTCCCCTTGAGTCTTTGCGTCCTTATGCGGTTCCATGAGTTTGAGGCAGCTTCCTCACATCCATCCTCCATTCTAATCACCCCCTTTTGTGGCCATCCTGGGGTCCATCTCCCAGGTGGAAGGACGGAGCTGATTGCCGTCCCTGTGGAGGCGAGACTCCTCAATGGGCAAGGGCAGGGGCCGGTGGATGAGCGCCAGCAAGGCTAGAGTGCTCCCTTCTTTCCCTCCCCTGCCCACCTGGGCCTCTTAGCAACTATCTACAGGGTGGGTGGGGAGGCTGGGAGGGCCCACACCTGTTTTTCAGCGCTCCCTCTGACCTCCAACTGCCCCCTCTGCAGCCGGCCTGGCTTCCAGGCCTCCCATCTGCAGGAATCTGGCCTGGCAGAGTGACCCCCTCAAGATCCCCCTAGGACTCTCCTGGAGTTCCTCCTCTGTTGGATGACTCTACTGTCAGAGCCCCAGCCCCAGCTGTCACAAGGCCCAGAGAGGGGCAGTGACTTGGTCCAGGTCACCCAGCATCAGCACTGGCACCACCTACTATATGTAGGCTCCCCACGTCCACAGGGACCTGGCTGCCTGGTTTACCTGGATTGGGGGACCTAAATTAGGGCTAACTCCTAAAGGAATATAGCTGGGCCTCAGTGTTCCAGCCTCGAAGGTCTTGCCCCTCATGCAAGGGGCCATCAGTCCTCACATCAGATCATATGCTCTGCAGAAATGGCATTTATCCCAGCAATCTTCTGTTTTTGGCACAAGAGATTTCCTCAATCCTCAGCTGCCTGCTTGCCTTGAGCAGGGTCTGGAACCCTCGCCCAGGTCCTGGTCCTGGGGGCCACCAGGTGACCTTGAACAGGCCCCTCCCTGAAAAGGCTGGTTTTTTCACTGGGCACTGAGCCTGTGAGGGCTCCCACCTGGGGGGTGTTTGGGGGTAAACAGTACAGTGCATGCTGTGGCCTGGGCAGAAGGCAGCCCAGTGTTCATGCTGGAGCTCCTGGGTACCTCTCCTGTGAGCCTCCAGAGGGAACAGCCGGGAGGAAGATGGTGCCCCATTACATAGAGGGGAAATTGAGGCCGTGCACAGGTAGGGCTGAGCCCATGAGGCCGTGGGAAAGCAGGCCGGGCAGCCGGCTGGGAGCCCTGCCCTGGAGCTGGTGACTCACCCTCCACTGACAGCGCTGCACCTTTGCTCCCCAACCAGCTGTCCCCATTCTGCAGGTGAACAAACCGAGGTGTCCACAGTGACTCACATGCCCCCTTTCCAGAGGCCCCAAGGGTCCTGAGCTGGGGGTTAAAGGTCCACTTCTTCATGGTCAGTCAAAGCCAGGCTTTCTCCCCCTTGGCATAATGGGTCACTCTGTGGTGGGGCCGCCTTGGCAGCGATGGAGCATGAGAGCTCTCTCCTCTACCCTGCAGGGAGAGAATCCTTTTGAGCTGGCCTTCTCTCTAGAACAAGCCCACCCCAGGGAGACTGACTTCAGCTTGGAAGCCCCAGCCCGTCCTGGTGAGGGGCCCAGGAGGGAGGGGCAGTGGGTGAGGGCTGGGCGGGTCCTAAGAGCCCAAGGAGCCAAGTGAGCCTCACCTCTGTGCCTCCTGGCACAGATATGCCCACAAGCCAGCCCATCGACATCCCAGATGCTAAGAAGAGGGGCAAGAAGAAGAAGCGATGCCGGGCTACTGATAGCTTCTCAGGCAGGTTTGAAGGTAAGTGGGGCAGGCAGGGCAGGGGGGCGGCAGGGAGATGACGGGGCCACCCAGGACCACTCTCACTGCCCCCCTGCTCCCCAGATGTCTACCAGTTGCAGGAGGATGTGCTCGGAGAGGGTGCCCATGCCCGTGTGCAGACTTGCATCAACCTCATCACCAACCAGGAGTATGCTGTCAAGGTGAGCTCGGCACCCTCACCTCTCCCCAGCAGCCTCTGCAATCTGGCACTGGCCCAGTTGGTGGGAGGAAGAGAGCTCATATGAGCTCCTGGACTGGCAACCGGTGAAAACCAGTGTCTAAAAATGTCCCCAGGGCTGGTGACTCAGGCTATCCCTAGGAATCCAGGTCAGCCAGGGCTGAGCCCCCGAGTCCAGGCAGAGGTGGGAAGTGGCCACGAGGGGTGGCCCCTTATGTGGATGGCTGAGGACCTGGTGCTAGAGCGGCCGCTGAGAGCCGGAGGCTTTGGTCAGAGCTGACACTTGCCTGCTGGGTTACCTCAGACCAGTCCCCAGGGATGACAAATGCTTCCCCATATTGGTTACAAGGTTTAAAAGGCCATGCTGTACTTGGTACCCAGGGGGCTTGGCATTTGGGGGGACCAAGGCAGGCCCTGAAGAGCCTCCTGTGTACCCTCATGCAGCCTCTGACCCAGGGTGCAACCTGGCAGTTACGGCCTCGTGACCTGTGTTATCCAGCTAGACTGTCAGACCCTGCATTCCAAGAAACTTTCCAGGCTTCCCTCATGACCCTGCATCTGGGCTGGGTGGGGTCATAGGAGGCTGACTGCCCAGGCAGGGTGGCCAGGTGCTCCCTGGTGAGTTGGGCTGACCAGAAGCCTTAGGCCCTGGTGGAAGTTCCATGACAAAGGCGGCTGTGGTCCCTACCCCCTGGGAGCGCCCAGGTATGGTGGTGCAAATGTTGCTGGAGAATTGGACACAGCATCGATCACTTTCTGCACACCCATGTATCTCTGAGCATCTTCCTCCTAAGGACTCTCCTAAACTTCGGAGGGGTTAGGTAGCCTGAGTCACACCGTGTGTGACCTCCCAGAAGGCTGCAGTCCTCATGAAGTAGGGGCCTAGCCAGATTCCCAAGGGACAGGATGAGGCTCAGTTCACTCCAGAAGGGCATGGCTAGGGGCGTTGTCTCCAGAGTCCCTGGAATCTGGTTGTCCTGCCCGTGTTTGGGACAGGTGTGTTTGTCACAGGACATGTGGGCCAGTGCATAAGCCCAGGCCCTAGAGGCCAGTGGACTTGTGTTCTTCCTGCTGCAGGAGCCTGACCCATGGAACATACCACATTTCCTTTCTCCAAGCCGCTATGGTGGGCAGGGTACCCCAGGCATGGGTGGTAACTCAGCCTGCCCACCTGAGGGGACCTGAGGTTGCCCAGTGAGAGCCAGCAGGCATCTTCTGACCCCACCTCTCTGTGGGCTTGAGAGCATCTCGGGGATGGGCGCAGAGCCCTCTGGTTCTCAATGCTCCTGGTGCCAGAGGGGTTTGGGAGCAGAGGTGCAGGCTGTGTCTGCTGGTGGGTGGCGGGTACCAATCTGAACTGGCCTGAAACACTCAGGCTCATGGGGCTGGAGACATCTACCCAGACTGATGTGGAACTGAGGAAGCAAGACTTGGCACTGAGGCAAGCCGGGGACAGCTTGGCTGGCAGCCAGGTGCCCTGAGGCTCCTCCAGTCCCCTGGGTGGTGTGGGAGCCAGCACAGTGGCCACCAGTCTTCTGGTCAGGGACAGGAGGCTGCTCACTCCAAGGAAACCTGACGTTCTAAAAGGGTATTTTGTAGGGGCCCCAGGCCCCATATATACCCGAGGCCTGTCGAAGTCAGGAGAGGAGAGGGCCTGGCTCCTCTGCCTTTCCTGCCCCCGCACCCTTCCCCTGGTGCTATTTGGGAAACACATTGCCCCCTGCTTGTGCTGATGCTGCAGTTCTGACTTCTGGTAAATTCTTGGTCCCCATAGGAGAGCTCTGCTTTCTAGAGCTTAAAGGTTTCAAGAGAGGTATAGGGGAAGTTTCTGGTCGGGGCCTTTTGTGCTCTGGAAAGTCTGGCTGACCCAACTGGTGTGTCTCCCCACCCCCACACATTTCAGATCATCGAGAAGCAGCCTGGCCACATTCGGAGTAGAGTTTTCCGGGAGGTGGAGATGCTGTATCAATGCCAGGGACACAGGTAACATGACCCACCCTCACCACAGCATTGGGCCCCATTCCACTTTTTAGTGGATGAATGGGCCTGGATGCCTCCTCACCCCAGCAAGCATTTAGGAAGCAACCACTATGTGCCAGGCCCTGTGCTAGGTGTTGTGGGTGGATCCAGTGTCAGGCAGGCAGTCGGAGGTGGGCAAGGTGGAAACAGGCCCATGGACCCAGTCCCAGCCGTCGTGTGGGCAAGTGGGGGTGGGGAGGGCTAGCTTCTCCTGGGCTGGGCGTGCCTCCTGGGCTGGGCGTGCACCAGGGCCTCAGGAAGTCTCATTCTTATCCTGCCCCCCACCCCAGGAACGTTCTAGAGCTCATTGAGTTCTTCGAGGAGGAGGACCGCTTCTACCTGGTGTTTGAGAAGATGCGGGGCGGTATGTGGGGCCTGGGAGACATGTCCAGCTGGGTCCTAATGGGCTGTGAGCTCAGGGCCACCAGGGAAGACCTTTCAAAGGGTCCTGCACATCGGAGGGGGCTTGTGTAGTCCGTTTCCTGTCCCCACAGCAGCTTAGGGTCAAGAATTTGGGCCCAGGGAGGCCAGAGTGGGGGCTTCCCTGCCAGGTGGAAATGGGTATTGTTACTGGGCAATGGCCTGGGGACACAGAAGTGACCCTTACATATTCTCCCTCCACTGTGGCCTGGCCCCAGGCTCCATCCTGAGCCACATCCACAAGCGCCGGCACTTCAACGAGCTGGAGGCCAGTGTGGTCGTGCAGGATGTGGCCAGCGCCTTGGACTTCCTGCACAACAAAGGTGGGTGGTGAGGATCACTGCCCAGGGTGCTGCCTACTTCTCGCCAGCCTGCCTAAAGATTCCTGAGTCCCGTGGGTGTCCAGCCTTTCCCCCATACACCTGTCTGGGACTCCTGGAAGGTGGGCCCACCCCATCCACTAACCCCTCCCTCATGGTTCTCCCCTTAGGCATCGCCCACAGGGACCTAAAACCAGAGAACATCCTCTGTGAGCACCCCAACCAGGTGAGGGGCCCTGGGAGGTGGCCTTCCCTGTGGTATGGGGCAGATGGGGCCAGGTACGCGCTGGATAGGACCCCCAGAGGTGGGATCCCCACTTCACTGCCCCTTCCCAACCCCTCCCAGGTTTCCCCTGTGAAAATCTGCGACTTCGACCTGGGCAGTGGCATCAAACTCAACGGGGACTGCTCCCCCATCTCCACCCCAGAGCTGCTCACCCCGGTGAGAGCCCGCAGGGTCAGAGGCTCCCCAGTGGGTTACAGGGGTGGGGTGGGAGGGCGCGAGAAGAGGGAACTGCATCTGGTCCCACGCAGCTCTGCAGCTCGGCCGCTGGGGCCTCAGAGCTCCAGTTTCCGCTTAGCAACAGCTGCTGATTGGTTGGTTTGGCGTCATGGGGCGGTGCTGAGGTCAGGCGGGGCTGGGCTGGCTCCCAGCACCTGTTGATTGGGCAGAGGGTGGGGGTTGGGGGCGGTCCACATCAGTAGTCTCTAGTTGGCTGAGCAGGACTGTCAGGCACAGCGGTTTGGGCTCAGGTGACTGTGCGTTCCAGCCCCTCACGTGACCCCGGGAGCTCCCGGCCGCCGAGGTGCCCCTTGCCCTTGGACCTTCTCCTTCTCCCGGAGTTCCCCAGCCTGACACCTTTCCCCACACCCGGCCCACAGTGCGGCTCTGCGGAGTACATGGCCCCCGAAGTGGTGGAGGCCTTCAGCGAGGAGGCCAGCATCTACGACAAGCGCTGCGACCTCTGGAGCCTGGGCGTCATCCTCTACATTCTGCTTAGCGGCTACCCCCCCTTTGTGGGCCACTGTGGCAGCGACTGCGGCTGGGACCGTGGCGAGGCCTGCCCAGCTTGCCAGGTGCGGGCCCCCACCCCTTGCCCGTACAACCCTTAGGACCTGGCTCCGAAACACTGACCAGGTCTGCAGAATGATGCCAGCCTGACTTTCCTGGGCTTCCTGAGGCTTTTTAGGTCCCCCGGCCTACCTCAAAGGCAGAAAGCAGTCGGGTCAGGGAGCTGAGGTAGGATGAAGCCTGTGGTTTGGGGTGACTAGGTTCTAGCCTTCTGTGCAGGGCTTGAGCAAGTCTCAGGATTCACACTCGGTAGCCAGGCCCCACTTGGGCAGAGCTGACTGAGGACCTCCCCGAGGCCGCTGTCCCACTCAGCTGTCCTCTTGCCTTCCTTGGCCCCTCAGGGCTCCTTGTCCTGCCAGCTGATCCCATTACCCTGGGCCTGAGTCTCACCCCACTGTCTGGATGGCCATTCCCAGGCCCCTGCACCTGGGCCACAGGTCAGGCCATGTGGTTGGGCCTGGGGGCCCTGACAGAGCCTGTCACTCAGTAGTGTGGCTGACCCTGCCTCGTGTGTTCCCCAGAATATGCTGTTTGAGAGCATTCAGGAGGGCAAGTATGAGTTTCCCGACAAGGACTGGGCCCACATCTCCTTTGCTGCCAAAGACCTCATCTCCAAGCTCCTGGTACGCGATGCCAAGCAGAGGCTGAGTGCCGCGCAGGTCCTGCAGCACCCCTGGGTGCAGGGGGTGAGTGCCAGCTGCGCTAGGCCCTGGGTGGGGGCCACCCTCCTCTGCCTAGTCTCTGATGGGCCAGGGGTGACTTAGAGCAAGTGTTTGAGAACCCTGAGGGACCAGCCTCAGGACCCCCCAGATGTGGCGTGGGTTTGGGGTTCGTGTAGACATCCTCTGAGGGCCCAGGCACAGCTGTGAAATCCCTCCCACCTGCTGGCCAGGTTGGGGTGGGGACTGCAGGAGCTGCTGCCCTTACCCTGGAGGTACTGAGGCCTCTCCCAGCCTGGCACACAGCAGCAAGCTGAGGTCAGGCAAGGGGCAGACTGGTGGGCAGCCAGCCTCCGACAAGGCTCTGTCCCCACTGATCCCGGAAGAGCCTGGCATTTCTCCCAGCCAGTGGTTGTCTGAGCTGAGGCTACCAGGGATGGGGCCCCCATGGGGAGCAAGGACTGCCTGCGGGAGGCAAGCTAGTGGACGGGGCTCTGAGCCCCTGCCCAGGGTGTCAGGAGATTCACTGATTGAGAAGGGAGAGGGGCTGGGTTGGGAATGGTCAGGAAGGGGCTGCTGGGGAGCCACTGGCCCTCAACCACACGCACTGGGGCTCCTGTAACATCCCCTTTCCCCAACCTGCCTCAGCTTCCAGGTGGGTGCACCCCTTAACCATGGTGGTGTCATAGCTAGCTGGGGAACTGGGAAGCGTTTCCCAGGGAAACAGGTTGGGCTCTGCTTTCCAGCCCCTTCTCTCCTGTCTCTTTCCAGTGTGCCCCGGAGAACACCCTGCCCACACCCATGGTCCTACAGAGGTGAGACCTGCATGGGGTCTTGGTGCCTGGAGAGGGGGGGCTCCTAGTGTTGGGGGGCCATTAAACATTAAGTCGTCTAAAACAGACAAACCCTCTTTAAGTTGTGGGGGAAGCCATTCAGGTGCTAGTGACAGATTGGGCCCCCTCCCCCAAAGCTGGGGGTCCCTGGACCCAGCAGCCCCTCCTCCAGGGCACTACACAGACCCCGGGGTCCCAAGGGAAGCAGGGGTGCATCTGGTGGCCATTTCCGTTCTCTGTCCCCAGGAACAGCTGTGCCAAAGACCTCACGTCCTTCGCAGCCGAAGCCATCGCCATGAACCGGCAGCTGGCCCAGCGTGAGGAGGACGCTTTGGAGGAGGCAGGGCAGGGCCAGCCCGTGGTCATCCGAGCTACCTCACGCTGTCTGCAGCTGTCCCCGCCATCCCAGTCCAAGCTGGCCCAGCGGCGACAGCAAGCCAGCCTGTCCGCAGCCCCCGTGGTCCTGGTGGGGGACCACGCATGAACCACCACCCCACCCCACCCCTGTACATAGATCACCCCCTCCCCTATCAGAGCTAAAGATTTTTTTAAGCTATTGCCAGCCGGTGACCAGCGGGCTGCACTCCTCCTGGTTGGGTTCCAAGGCGCTCGGCTCAGCTGGGGGGGTCTTTTTATATAAAGTTTTTGCTGTTGGGTTTTTCCTTTTTTCTTCCCCCCACCCATTTTTTTTTTTTCTTCCTTTGAATGGTGTTAAAGCAAACAGGCGCCCAGGGAGGAGAGTGGAGGGCGCAAGTGGCTGCGTGTGCCCCTGCCTCACCACCCTAGCCCCACACGCTTACCTGTAATGTGAAAGGTCCCGTGCCCACAGCCCACAGTCCCTGCCCAACGTGACTCAGGAGAGGAGGCTGCTTGCTGTCTTCCCAAGCTGGGGGCCCACACCCCGTCCCCGGCCCTCAGTGTTTTCAAGGCTGGGCTGACCTCTCACCCCAAAGACACTTGTGGCCATTGGGGACCAGGGTGCAGGCAGGCGGGGTGGATGGCCACCCACTGAACCCCCCTCCCCTGCTGACTGACAATCGGGGCTCCCTCAAACCTTGACCTTAAGCTGCAGCTGACCTGGGTGTGCACCCTCTGTCCCTCCTCAGCCCTCTCCACCAGGGGCTCAGCGCACCTAGAAGCAGGGCACTGGAGGAAGTGGGAGGGCTGGACAGGCACCCGTCAGCCAACACGGGGGTCCTGAAGACCCCCCCACCCGGGCACCCGAGTGCCCCTTCTCAGGGCTCAGTCTGACCATGGCCACGTCCTGCCCCATTGCCCCTCTGGTTAGCATGGAAGCTCTGCCAGCCCCGCCTCTGCCCCTCCCAGAGCCAGGGCTGACTGGGGTCCCTCTGAATTCCCCACCCCCCGCAACGGCAGTGTTCCTGCTCTGCCCACCTTCAGGAAAATGGCCTCCCTCGGGCACCCAGGAACCAGCGCTCCCCTCCTCCCATCCCAGCACCCAGCTCAGATGTCGCGTGACCCACCAGGTTCGGGGAGACAGACGCCCCTCTTTGTCCTCGGGTGGGAAACACTATGCAATACAGCTTTCCTCTTCATGTACATGTGCTTCTGCCAGTCACCCAGCGCCCTTGAGGGCACATGGCCCAGGGTCTGGCCTGGTCATCCAGGCTGGCCAGGCTGCCTGCCCTCTGGCTTCTAGTTTATCTTGTTTCGTTAGTATTTTAAGAACACCAGTTAAATTCCCTTCCTTGTTCTTGAAGAATACTTGAATGTTGGGGGGGCCTTGTGGGTTTGGGGACTCAGATTCCATGTCTGGCCCCCCAAGTCTTGTACGATTGTTGCAATCTGTGGGGGCCCATGCTCCCCCCCCCTGTCCCCAACCCGCTCAGATCTGTGGACTGGCCTTTCCAAAGGCCCCCAGGGTAAGGTAGCCGCCCTCTCCCTCATCATTTATCACCCATCAGTGATTCCACATTTTCACAAAAGGTTCTGCCTTTTTGTAAAAGAAATGGAGCCTTGCAGGCCACAGGTGACATGGCCGTTTTACTCTGGAAAGCTGAGCTGTGAACAGCTTTTTCCCCCCCTCAAAGGTGGGGTCACCCACTTTCTTCCCCCTCGTCACACTGAGTGCTACTCGGGGCTGGCTGGTTAGAGCCATTACTGTGAATGAACGCCTGGGTCCCAGGGTCCTGGGCTGTTCCGGTGCCAGGGGAAGGGAACGGCAGTGTTTAAATGTTAAGACATAAAAAAGACAAAACATTTTTTTGAAGTGGGGGAAAAACATCCAAGCACTTTAACTCCACTGTACCAGGCAAACTGATACAGCTCAGAAGTTTTCCTGACACCAACTGTCAATGCCGGAATTTTGTATTCTGTTTTATAAGGATTTAATAAAACCCAAAAACTCAGGTGTGCCTGCATCCTGGTTTTCTGTTGCTGTGTAACAAGACGCCCCAGACCTAGTGGCTTCAAAACGTTCATTGGCAGTGATGATGCTGTGAATCAGGAACTCCAAAGGGGCATGTGGGGTTGGCTTGTTTGCAGGGCCTTGGGGGGGTGGGGATTGGGCAGTCCTCAGATGGCCTGTCCAGTAGCGGCCCTGAGAGCCATCTGTGTCTAGCTTCTCATGAGCACCGTGTGTTCAAGGTCCATCCATATTGTGAGTGTCAGCGCCTCCTTTTCACGGCAGAGTGACACACCTGTGTGTGGATGGGCCACGTGTTTAGCAATTCCTCCATTCATGGACACAGTCTGTCCCCACTTTTGGCCGCTGTCAGTCATGCTGCTGTGGACTTACGTGCGCAGGTTTTGTGTGTATATTGTTTTTGTCTCTCCTGAGTGGACACCACAGAAGGAATGTGAGCAGGGCAGACCCTGTCAGATGTTTCTGGAAGGACCTTGCCACCATGTGGAGTGTGAACTTGGGGCCTAAAGGACCTGGTGAACCATTGTCACCCTCACAGCTAGCCCAGTGAGGGATGACAGGCCTGGTGGGGGTGGTGGCTAGGAGACTACAAAACGACAAATGCAGGACCTAGTGAGGAGGTGACCTGCCAGCACCTGGGAACAGACTGGACGATGTGTGGGAGTGAGGGAGGGGTCTCTCCAAGCTGTCAAAAAAAAAAAAAAGGTGGACCTGGCAAGACAGAGGCACTAGGACCCCTGAGACAGCAGGGGGCAACAGGTCACCGGTCTCCTTCCTAGGAGCCTGAGCTCAGCAGGTAGCATGCCCTCCCCCCACCCATCTCTAGAAGGAAACCTGGGCACCCTTGAGCCTGGCCCCTGCCACCTGCATTGGTTGAGCCACCTCTCAGACTTCAGAGCTACCCCACCCTGTGCCAGGCCCCTAGCAGCTCCCATAGGCCCCTCTCAATTCTCCCAGGTTCCTCCCTTGCTCCTTGCCTGCCCTGGCATGTGTGTGTATGGGGGAGGAGTGAATGCCACATGCCAAGACACCGCCCTCTCAGGTGGCACAGAGCCCTACCAAGCCCTGCTATGCCTCACCGCTGACCGCTCCCTGCCCCCTGCCGCCTGCCAAGTCCTGCAGCCGGGCACAGTCTGTTCTCTGAGCTGTGGCTGTGGATTTTATGTTTGTGGTTTCCTCTGAGCCGATCCTGCCCCTTCCATGTCTTCCTCCTCCAGGAGCAGCAGAAAAATACTGGAGCTGGAGCAGCCAGGAGCCTTTCCCAAGCCCGTGACTGCTGCCTCACTGGCCCCCTGGGCCCAGGATCCACATAGGTAAATGGAGACACCAGCTCAGGCTCCCCAGCTGCCCACAGGCGCTGGCTACACACATCCCAGTAGAGACTCTGCAAGTGGGACCCATCATCCCAAGATCATGTTGAAATCATCATTTCTGTGTCTTGGGGAGTTTCCTTCTGCTCCCTTGACAAGTGTCAGGCTCTGATGTCCCCATTAATAGGAGAAATGGGTGAGGGTATGGAAACTCTTTGTATTGTCTTCACAGTTTTTCTGTAAACCTAAAACTTTTAAAAATAAACTTGTGTCAGGCACACAAGGCCACACTGTGCGATTTCATTTACGTGAAGTGTCCAGAACAGGCACATCCACAGAGAGGACGGGGGTTAGTGCTTGTCAGGAGCTGGGGGTGACTGCTGATGGGGCTTTCTTTTCGGATGATGGAACATTCTGGAATTAGAAGTGATGATTGCACAACACGGTAAATGTACTAAATACCATTGAATTGTTGTTCACTTTAAAAGGGTGAATTTGTTCTTAACAAAAATTAAAAGGGGGTCGGCCAAGTGGATGTTGGTTAAGAGTTGGCTTGGGATGCCAGCTCTGAGCAGCAGAGCCCTGGTTCAGATCCCACAGTAGGGCCAGTGATGCTGCGCCCTCTACAGCTAAGATGCTGAACAACAGCTTGACCTGGAGCTGGGATGCCGTGAGTCGCTGGCAACCCCGTAGGCTGCAGTGAAGTTTCAGTGGGCTGCCGTAAGCTACTGTGAGTGGCCAGCAGCCAGCGTGAGCTGCCAAGAACTGCCGTGAGTGTCCATCCAGTGGCGGGCGACTGATCTGCCTCACGCGGGAAGAACACAATGATAATACAAACATGGGCCAGTGAAGCAACATCCTCCACAACTAGACTGAAGAACAAAAAGAGAGCAGCTTATCTGTTCCTCTCCCCCAATTTCCCAATAAAATCTTTTAGAAAATAAATAAATAAAAAGGATAATGATGGGACTGAGTCTGTTGGGTCTGGTACACAGTAATTGCTCAATAAATGCATTGAGGAGTGATTTATCGCCCCAAAGGGTGGGAAGGAGGCCAGCATAGTCATCTTCTCCCCAGAGCTTAGGGACTTGTGCAAATTTTCATTCCTGTCACTAATCACTGTGACAAGCCCTCCCCATGGATCACTTCATATCATTGTCCTCCTTAACTCTCCTGTCTCCAGAGGAAACCCATAGCCTGTACTGGTCTTGGAGTCACTCGGAAGGAGGAGAAAATTAGTTTAGAGCAAAGCATCATAGGTCAGGCGTGAGGAGAAACCTACTTGGTGATTGAAGCCAGAATGGAGGGAGCTGGGGCTAGAGGGAGAGAGGGAAGGAGAACCAGATTCTCAGTGCCCAGGACATGTGGGTGAGCGCAGGGCTCTGCGCGACCTGCCTTGTTTGCCACTAGGGCTCCAAGCCCATCATGTGCTGCAGTTGGCCCTGTGTGGTCCCCACTCTGGGCTGCGTTCCTCCACTCTGTCAAACTGTGAAACTCACATAGCACTCCTCCCCACGTAGAATTGGGGGTTTGTGGGCAACCCTGGAAAGATGCCATGGGGTTTCTGTCACGTCCGTCATCTCTCCTACGGAGACTCAGTTTCTCCATGTGGAATGGGAGGACAATGTCCCCATCTCTCCTCTGCCTCAGTTTCCCTTTTGTGACCTCCTGTGAGACGGCAGAAGGCTCAGATACCAACTACAAGGGTTTTGCCCTGCACTGTATACTTGACTCTGGGGCCAGGGAGGCAGCAGGGTCTGGGGTCCCAGGACCCCTGCAGAAGGCCTTTGGGGAGAGCATCTGGTAAGAGGTTAGCAAGTCCCCAGAACGGATAACAAACGGAGACTCACGTTCAAAGTGGCACCCACCCTGCAGGTGCTGGGGCCACATAAGTGTTTTGGGCTCGAGCCCTGGTCACTCTTTGCCTGAGGTCATCAACCCAGTGACTCAACCCTGTCCAGCCTGTTGTCTTTCATCATTGGTCACAATCCCCGTGTCCCAGGATGCCTTTCTCCTCTCGCTGGGCACACAATGGTGATAAACTGGCTCACAACCACTCCAAATTGGGGCCAGGACCAGGGAGGGCTGAGTGAGGCCCTCACCTGGGCAGGCAACGTAAGAAGGCGCAAAAAAGTGCCGTTATCAAGATGATAATATTTTGTGCTGGGAAACTTTGCAGTGACTTGTAGATTCACATGCAGTTGCAAGAAATAACATTTTGCCCAGTTTCCCTCAGTGGTAACATTTTGCAAAACTTTATTACAATGTCACAACCATGATATTAAAATTGCTACAATACACCTCGTTCGAAAGTGGCCACTGTCAGTTGTATCCACTGTGTGAGCAGTTCCTCCCCCGCCTACCCCTCTGGTTTCAAAGCAAACGACCACAGAACTCAGGTTGCCCTCTCTTCTCACCTGGAGATAAAAGTGCATCAGACTGGACCATCGAAACTGGTGCCTTCTGGTAGAACTTTCTGGAATAATGGACGTGTCCATCTGCACTAACACTTGAGCCACTACATGTGCCAATGCGAATGAGGAACAGAATGCTTCAGTCACTTCATTTTCAGCAGCTGGGCTGCTGGGGCCACCACTGAGAAATGCAGGTCAATCCCTCCCTTTTTCAGGCTCGGAGGCTCGGTCTCTGTGTGGTCTTGGATTTCGACCCGAGTCCTTCGTTGGTCCCCAGCTCTTAAGTCCTCCATCCATTAGTCCTGAGCTCTGGGCACACAGTTGGCACTCAATAAATGCTTGTGGAGGGAGAGGCGAAGTGAATGGCTTCCTGACCCCCATTAGTTCTGTTCCCTCCATGTGAAATCGGGCTTGCCCCAGCCTGGGCCTCATTTTGCCCACCTATGAAACAGGGTGGGCCATCCTGCTGCCTTCCACACCTTCAACCCTCGCTGGTGCTATTCCTTGGGTTTCACATCCTAATACGGCCACCTGGGGCAATACACTCTGCAGCAGTGGGTGGCATCTGGGGGGCTCCATTGGGATCCCCATCCTAGAGTGAGGGGGAGAGGCAGGGGACAAGGACCCAGTGACAATGGAGTGACCCTAACCCTTGAATTTGGGGCCTGGGGTGGGGAGGGTCACTCAGGGCATCCCAAGCAGGGAGGAGGAGGCAGTTTCAGATGGGGAAACTGAGGCACAGAGCTGTTGAGTCACTTGCTCACAGACATACAGCTAATGTGTCTACAATTGGAGCCGGGCTCTCTGACCAAACACAAGTTTCTTTTTATTTCACACTCAAGTCTCCTCTGCCTGTTTGTCCCTCTGTCTCTCTCCATGATCCCTCCCTCCCTCTCCCCTCCCTGCCTTCCTATAATAAAAACAATATGTTTTTGCTATGTACCCAGAACTATTTTATTTCCCAGAATGAAAATATATCAAATATGTTTGTGCTGTGGGGTTTTAACAAATTTCTAAGTGAATAAATGCTTTCATTTAAGGTGTCCACACTGTGGTTTTCCTGACAGTCGGCGGCGTGGAGAGGTTCCGTTGCACATGGCTAAGGTCTCTGCCTACAAGGAGTTCTCCCTGCTGCACCCAGGTAAGTCAGGTGATACTGTCTGTGGTTTGTGTCTGTGGTTTGCTTTGCCGTCTCTGTCAGGTGGGTCCTGGCACCTGGGTCCTTCTTCCCTTTGGTGGCCGGGTTGCAGGTGGGAGCTGGAGAGGGCTGA